CATCTTCCAAAGAGAAAAGAAGTTGAGCTGAGCAGCAAAATACATGAAATTTGAAATTCCAAAGCGAACAGTAACTTGCAGAAATTCTGCGCAGCATCAGTGAAGGCTGTGACTGAAGACAGCTTGCTTTCTTTGCATGGGGAAGGCTGTTAACTCTGCCTGGTGCTGATGTTGACTTTGGCCTCTAGAGTTTATTTGTGCAGTATGTTTAAAAGGAGTGAGTAAACGCACTAATGGGAGGTGAATAACCATTTTCTCTTTCTGTTTTCTTGTCCATTAAAAAAAAGAGTAAATATTTATTCAGAGGTAGGGTATGCACTTATTTTTATGTCAGAATTCTACAGTGGAATCCTTTTCTTACAGAACAGAGGTTTGTGACAAGTATTGTTCCCTATAACAGACTTGTAGTGTATCATGATTGGTAATAGCATTGCAGTTACTGACTGATTTTTGTCAGGATCTTGAAGTTTTTCACAGTAAACCCTTTTCATTTTTACAGATTTGTAGCAAATAATGATTGGTGGTAAAATTTCAGGCAGTATCAGATGATGCTGGGGTCTTGTGCCCTTCTCAGTTAAACTTTTCCAAAGCTGTTGCTTCAATTGGAGACCTAGCTTTAGGAAAGGAAATTTTTAAACACCTAAGAGCCATGAGTCAGAATCGCCTCCATGGGCAACCAGTCTTTTATGACCCACCTGGTCATATAGCAATAGTTTTGTTCCTCATATAAGGAGCTCTGGTGGCACAGTAGGTAAGGCATTTGGCTGCTAATCAGAAGGTCAGTGGTTCAAACCCACCAGCTGCTCTGTGGGAAGAAGATGAGGCAATCAGTCTACTTCCGTAAAGATTTTGAGCCTTGGAAACCCCAGGGGGGTTGCTATGAGTCGGAATTGATTCAATGACAGTGGGTTGTTCCTCATATACATAGTAGAGACTCAGAATAGGATCTTACAGGAAGTGCTGTGAGACAGTTGCCTGTAAAAGTCAAAACCTTTATTGCCACTTAATCCTTCGCATTAAGGGATTAAAAATAAATAAAATAAAGAGTTTTCATGATAGAATTTTTTTTTTTTTTTTTGCTGTAGTTTATGATTCACTAAAGAAATGGTCAAATGAGGAACTGACTGGGTGGGTAGGTGAGGGTAGCTAGATAATACTTCTGCACAGTTGAGGTCTTAAGATAGGCAGGCCCCGATGTGGGCTTAGGGCTGTTGAGCCAAACCAAGGAGGACACTGAGCCTCCGCTGGATGGGCCCAGCCAGTGTCAGCTGTGGAAGGGCGCGAGCAGTGTATGGAAGGTAGTCTTCAGAAGGGAACACCCGGTTGGGTGAGGTTAGAGCACCACTGCTTAGTGCCTGCTGTGTGCTAGGCACGGTGGAGATGAAGACCCGCCCAGCAGGGAGCAAAGAACCATTGGCATTTTTCACACAGTGGCATTTGTCATTTTGAAAAAACTTTCACCTACTTTTTAACTTTCTGCTGTGATTTGGGTGAAAATTCACAGAGCTAGTTGGTGTTCCATCCAACAGTTCATACACATTTTGTTTGCTGACATTGACGGCAATCCCCACAATGTAACAGCACTCCTCCCACTTCCTGCCTGTTCCACCTGTTTGCCTTCCTCCTTCTTTTCCTACCTATTCCTGCCTTCTGAGCGTTCTCCCTGGGCAAGTGCTGCCCTTTTGATCCCGCAGGGTTGTCTGTTCTAAGGTACTTACTTCCTGGTGTTATCATTCACCTGATGGCGCTGTCTGGCTGAAAATTGAGCCTCGCCAAAGGGTTCGCTGACAGTGGCTTTGATGCTTCCTCTCCCGCAGCTAGTGCATCCACCCCATGGCCAAGCCGCCTAGTTGGTCCCGTGCTTTATCAAAACCTGCTGCCATTGAGCTGATCCCAACCCACTGCACCCCTGGAGGACAGGGTAGAACTGACCCATAGAGTTTCTAAAGCTATAAATCTTGATGGAAGCAGACTGCCTCATCTTTCTCCCACAGAGTGGCTGGTGGGTTTGAACCACTATCCTCTTGGGTAGCAGCAAAGCGCTTTAACCACTACGCCAGCTAAGTGCTCTTGGAATGTTCTCTTCTCTTCCCCACTCCCAACCTCACTTCCTCAGCCCAGACCACCCTCGCCCCCTGAGCTGTCTCCCTATGCAAACACTGCCCTTCTGTTCTCCCATGATTGATTGCACCTAAGGAGTGTACCTGCTTGATGTAAATGGTCACCCCATATGCTTGTCTATTGTTTGGTTAGAAGCTGCAGGAGTGAGTTCAGTTCCAGACTTGAAGGGTAACTAGGAGCCATAGTCTCTGGGGTCTCACCAGGCTCTGTGAGACCAGTAAGCCTGGTCGTCTTTATGATTCTCAGTTTTATTTTACATGGTTTTCTCACTCTACCCAGGATCTCCTGTACCCTTTCCAAGTGGGTGACAGTGGTAGCTGGATACCACCTAGTTCTTCTGGTCTCATGGTCATATAAGCTGAGGATTGCATGGCTTACCAGTCCCTCGGACTAACTCGTTTCCAGGCGTCTTTGGTTTTCTTCATTCTTCTTTGCTCTGGGCGAGGAGAGACCCATTGTTGCATCTAGATGGCAGCCTGCCAGCTTTCACGACCCCAGCACGGTGATGCTTCATATGTAATGACTGCATGGGAACTCGTCTCGTTTGTGTAATAACTGAACCAGCTCCACGCGGTCACGTTCATCACAGCGCCATCAGCACCTAGTACGCTTTCTGGCATAGCACATGATGTGCTGGCATAAAGCGAAATTGAATGAATGTTCACGACAGTTTGTGATGGAATTGGCGTAAGGAAGTTGAAACTTGCCAGTAAATTAGCCAGTGAGTGATAGAGGTGTCCGTGGGTCTCACAGCCAGGCTTGGGACTATAGAGCTTAGGCTGTGCCTCATTGGGTTTTATTTGACATTCGAAGCTTCGAACAGAATGCATTTCCAGTGAGTCATTTCTGTTTGTAGAAGCCTCTAGGAGTTGAACATTGCCTCCTCACTGATGATGTAATGTTTGACTCAGGGCTTCAGGATGGGCAGTTCCCAGTTTTGTTAAGCTCTTAATAATGTTAGGAGTGAGAGTGAAACAAGTCTTGGCAAGACTGGAGGAGCCTGTATAGTCTCTCGTTGAGAGGTTCTTGCCTTCGGCTAAAAGTGTGAAAAGCTCCACTTTCCTCCTGGTGAATCTTCTACTCTGTTATGGTGGGTGAGATGAAGGACAGAATCTTGTACATCACAGCTCCAGTCACATCACCCTGGTGAGCCCACAGAGACCATCAGGGTCAGGGAAGGAGACTGGTCTGTCCTTAGGATGCCAGGGGCCTGGGCTGTCAGATGCCTGGGGATGTTGTAAAAGTTGGAGACATTTTTGCTAGTGGTGCAGCAATCTTAATTTTTACCTGAAAAAAGTTTCAAGTGGCTCAGAGTGGTCTGTATCAGTCACCAGTTTCTTTTGTCTATTATTTTTTAAATGCCTTCAGCCATATCAAATCTGCCTCTTAATTATCCATCCGTTTTCCTCCCCTCACCTCCCCAGTAACCAACAAAGAAACTTTCCTTCCCTGAGTCAACCCTTCCTTGACTTGTTATTATGGACTTACAGAGTGTCTGTCCTTCTGTGATTGACTTATTCACTCAGCATAATGTTCTCCAAGTTCATCCACAATATGAGTGGAGTCACTGGTTCTTCCTAATTCTTTAGTGTCGCATAGTACTCCATTGTGTGAATGTACCATAGGTTGGTTATCCATTCGTCTGTTGATGGGCACTTAGGTGGTTTCCATCTCTTTGCAGTTGTAAACAGTGCTCCGATGAACGTGGGTGTGCGTGTATCTACTCATGGCCAGATCTCACCTCTTTTGGATATGTTGCTAGTAATGGGATTGCTAGGTTAAATGGTATTTCTATTTCCAACTTTTTAAGGAAGTGCCATACTGTTTATACAGTGGTTGTACCATTTTACAGTCTGACCAACAGTATATGAGGAGTTCCGGTCTCTCCACACCTCGCCAGCATTTGTTGTTTTGTGTCCTGTTGATCTTTGCTATTATTGCTGGGGTGAGATGGTATCTTATAGTGGTTTTGCTTTGCATTTCTCTAACAGCTAATGATCACAAACATTTCTTCATGTGTTTGTTGGCTGCCTGAATATCTTCTTTGGTGACATGTCTGTTCATATCCTTTCTCCATTTTTTAATTGGATTGTTTGTCTTTTTGATGTTGAAGTGTTGAAGTTTCTATAAATTTTAGACATAAGTCCCTTGTTAATATGTCATTGCCAAATGTTTTTTCCCAGTCTGTAGGTTCTCTTTTTACTCTTTTGCTGCACATCAGAGTTTAATTTCTAGAAAGTCCCCGTCATCTGGTTTCTCTTGTGCTGTTTGTCATTTGGGGTTATTGCTTGATAGTTCTGTCACCAGTCACGCAGGTGGAGAGTGCCCCTGGACTGTCTCCACATGCTCACGTTCTCTGCAGGTCTGTGGGGAGGTCACTGCATTGTCCCTGAGCCATAAGATGATCTGTCTGGAATACGTGACTGCACACTGGTGCCGTAGCCCTCCTGGCTTCCAAAGCTTGTGATGCCCTGTGAGAATCGGGGTGAGGGAAGGGCACCCGAAAACAGGGAGTTAACACGAGGTGGTGCAATGGGTGCTGTCTGCACTGAGAGGCACACAGTGCGAGTTGCAGAGGGCAGCTGTGTTTGCGTATGAGCATTACTCACAAGATGATTTGAAGATAGAATTTAAGATTCTTGGATGGAAGACACTTAGTTTGTCCGCTGCAAATCTCCGGGTGAAACTGTGTGCCAAGTGCTAACGTAGAAGGCTAAAGAAATGGAGTGTTTGGTTTTACACGAAGTCCTTTGTGGACATGAGTTGATTTTTCTAGCAGGTATTTTAACAGGATAGTGAAGGGGGATATGATGGTTGCAGTTCAGTGTGATGTTGACTAAGCAGTTTACACCTTTCTCTCTCTCTCTCTCTCTCTCCAGAGCCGTAGGTAAGACGTGCCTGCTGATCAGTTACACCACCAATGCGTTTCCTGGAGAGTACATCCCCACCGTGTGAGTATCGCTGGCCACATCGGGTGCTCGTGGGGAGTCCCTTGACGACAGACCACACACAGCAGACATGAACACTTTCCTCTCGCACTTTCACTGAAGTCGACTTATGAAGTATTTGGGGCCTTTTTTTTTTTTTTTTAATTTAGACAGTAAAGCTTCCTTGTAATAATGGAACAAACACTGCTTCCCTAATTGATTTCTAGTCATTGAGGGAACAAAAGAAGGTTAACAAAGTAATATTCCGGGATAGACTGGAGAAAGTGAGCACTTCTGAGCCGTCTGGGGCTCTGGGCTGTGTTCCTGAAGGAGCCGAGAACTGACCATGAATGCTTAGCGTCTGACTGGCCCTTTCTGGCAAGTGGTCGTGTCGCTGTTGAGTGGTGGGGCTTGAAGGCCGGGTGTGTGGGAGGACGGGCTGCTGAGCGGCTGGCTTCCCACGGGCAGCAGCATCGGGTGGAGATGGAGAGGTGCTTTTCTGGTGAGGGGAGTGCCAGCAAGCCCCGCAGACCACAGAGGCCAGGTCTCTGCTGCACCGCCTGGGTCCCTCTGTGGCTGCCTCTCCCAGCTGTGCGTGTTCTCTGTCTGTCGGTGTCCCTTCCTGCTGGTGCGCTCTGCAGTGTCATGCGTGTGTCTTTGTCATACGCATGGCATCGTTCCGTCCACATGGTCCTGAGTGGATGGCAGGCAACTTCCTTGCCTGCACCTGCCGGCAAAGGTCTGCGCTGGGTTAGCTGCCGGCCATGTCGCTGGTCTCCCCTTGCTTGCTGGCTTTTTTTTTTTGGCTTCACAAATACTCCTCTGTTGACCATCTTTGTACATGTCCACTGGTGTTTTTCTAGGATACATCATTACAAGTGGATTTACGTCAAATCAAAAGGGAATGTATATTTGGAATGTGGAAAGATTGTGCCCAGTTGCTCTTCAAAAGGCTGTCGCTGTCACCAGCTTTGAGTGCCCTTGAGTGCACACTCTGGTCAGCCTGGGTGAAAAATGATCTTATTACTCTCATTTGCATTTCTGATCATCAGTGGGATAAATTTTTTTTTTCTCAATTTTTGTTGTGATTTGGGTGAGAGTTTACAGAGCAAATTCATTTTCCATACACAAGTTCACGTACACTTTGTCTCATGATACTGACTGCAATTTTCCACAATGCAACAGCTCCCCTCCCACTTCCTCTCCATAGTTAACACTTTCCTGTGTCCTTCCCTCCCATGCACTATGGCCTTGGAACTGTCTCCTTGTACACAGCCTTTCTGTTCTCACATGATTGATCTCTCCAAGGAGTGTAACTATGTAATGTAAGTGTTCAACTCATATGCCTGATTTTTGTTTGGCTGGAAGCCACAGGAGTGGTTTCAGTTCTAGACCTGAAGGGCAACTAGGGGCCATAATCTCAGGGGTTCCACAAGGAGTGGGGTCAAATCTTACTCAAAAGCTTTACTACCCATTTGTATAGCCTTCTGTGACTTGCCTGAGGAATTTTGGTGACTCAATGGTTTTAAAACATTTGGCTGCTAACTAAAAGGTCAGTGGTTCAAATCTACCAGCCACTCTGGGGGAAAAAGATGAGGCAGTCTGCTTCTGTAAATATTGACAGCTTTAGAAGCCCTGTGGGGCAGTTCCACTCTGTCCTCTAGGGGCGCTCTGAGTCAGAATCCACTCCACTGCAGTGGTTAGGTTTAAGCTTTGGGTCAGTAAAGGCTGATAGCGCTGGAACCCTATGGAACAGTGTTACGTTCTGTCCTCTAGGGGCACTGTGAGTCGGAATTGGCTCCATAGCCGTAGGTTTGGTGACTGGGGACTTGCTTATAGAAAATCCTTGGCTTCATTTCCTACTGAAAGTTCTTCCTCCTGGGATGGAACTTTTGTGCATAAGAACTGAGTCCTCTCTGTTTCTCATTTGTTTTTGGACTTTGTCCTCTCTCATCTAAAACTTTGCAGTTCTTATTTTTTCAGATTTTTATTGTGATTTGGGTGAAAGTTTACAGAGCAAATTCGTTTTCCATACAGCAGTCCATACACATTTTTTTCATGACGTTGACTGCAGTTCCCCACAGTGTAACAGCTCTCTTCCCACTTCCTCTCCACAGTGACCTCTTACTGCCCTTTTGGAGAACGTGGCATTTTTTATGTACATTTGTTCCTCCCCTCATTTGTGGCCTGAGTTTTTATATCTTCTTTAGGAAGGCCTCAGTGACACTGAGAAGCTTGTCCTTGGTGTCGTGCCTTTGTCTTTATCCAGCTTGCGTTTGCTTCCCCAGACACTTCCGCTCCGGCCTCCACCTTTGCAGCCTGAGGATCCTCCTCATCTGCAGGCTGGCTGCTAGCTTCGCGGCCTCAGGCCCATCCACTCCTCTCTGCACAGCTCCTCGGTCCCTTCTCTGTCCTGGAGCACCAAGGCCAGCGACTGACTGTCTGCCTTTCCTCCACAGCTTTGACAACTACTCTGCCAATGTTATGGTAGATGGAAAACCGGTGAATCTGGGCTTATGGGATACGGCTGGACAGGAAGATTATGACCGATTACGGCCCCTCTCCTATCCGCAAACAGTAAGGATTGTCACTGATTTACAGTGTATCATTTAGACTGTGCATTCGCACAAGGTTGGCATGCATGTCACCTACGAGTTTGCTTATGTTGCCATCATTTGGGTATAACACGTAACAGCAGATCAAGTTAAATGTATTCAGTTAGAAATCGTCCCTGGGATATAAACTCGGTTTGGTTTTGTTCTGTTGAGCATTACCGATACGGAGCCCAGGCACTGTGTGTTGACGTACTTGCCTTGAGTTCTAGGATAACCATAGGAAACCGGTAACTGCTTTTTTTTTTGCAAACCAGTTTATAACAGTAGTTAGCTTGCCTTGTGACAGTTTTGTACCCACAAAGTCAAATGGTGCAGTTGTGGTTGGGTTCTTAAATCAGTTGGGTGAGTAACTCTGTGGGTGCTGTGCTTTTTTCTCTATAAAATGCATTCAGGTAGTCACAGACTTAGGACCCGTTCACGTTACAGTGAACCACACTTAACGGCCATCTGTTTTGTTTTGTTTTTTGTTTTTAAACATCTTAGCGTTAGTAGTATTTGCTACCTATAGAGTTAAGATGTGTCTTTATAATAATGAAAATTTTAAAGAAAGCTGTGTGACTTGTGTCAGAACCCTTTTTGGAGTAGAAGAACGCCATCGTAAGTCAGGGACTGCTGACTGGGAGGTCAGTGGTTCAAACCCGCCAGCTGCTCTGCAGAGTGAAGATGGGGTGGTCTACTTCTGTAAAGATTTAAGGCCTTGGAAACCCAAGGTGTGGTGGGGATGTCGCTACGAGTCGGAAATGACTTGATGGCAGTGAGTTTGGTTTGTTTGTTTTTGGTTTTAGTACTTAAATCTTTTCAATGTAGATTGAGGTTTCAGTTTTGTAAATGGGTCCACTGTGCTCACTGAGAACAACGTAGACTGTCTCCTCATCTGTGTCAGAAGCCAGATGACGTGTTTACCAGCCAGTGAGTCGTGCTGGCTCCAGCAGGCACCTGGAAGACAGTGGTCCTGGGGAGAAGCTGCTTTTCTTCAAAGGATCAAGTGGGCTTTTGAAATACCTTGTACATGTCATTTTCTCATCTTTTCCCATATTTACACTTCATTTTAAAAACTGTATTTTAAGTAACCAGTTGAAGAAGCGCATTCCTGGGAGACAGTAGGGCAGAGCCCTTAGGTTCTGGGCCCGGCTCTGCCGCGTCCAAGCTGAGTTTTGACAGAGCCCCGAGCTGCTGGTTTCAGGGATCCAACCAGAATCCGTTGCCATCGGGTCAGTTCCAGCTCCCGGTAACACTGTTGAGGTGAAAGTGCTGCAGGCCGGCTTCGAATCACAGACCTTCAGGTTAGCAGTAGTCACACAGACTGTGTGCACCACCTGGCAGCGCACACCGCAGTCCTCTCTGAGGAGCTTTCTGAATGGCTCTCCCCTCCTCTTCTTGCTAAAGCCCAATGCACGCGGTACCTTGGCCACGCGGTGACACTTGATCTGCGAAGAATCCTGTTTAATTCCAGCTCGTGGGGCCCGGGATTGCAAGAGTGACTCCTGCCCTTTCTGGAATCACAAAAGCTTGAGGCTCTTTCTCGACCTTGTTTCTTAGCTAAATTAAATAAATAAACCCACTGCTGTGGAGTCGATTCTGACCCACAGCGCCCCTAGAGGACAAAGGAGAACTGCCTCAGAGGGTCTCCAAGGCTGTCAGTCTCTGTGGAAGCAGACATCGTTCTCCTGCAAAGTGGGATTGGGCTCAAACCGCTGACCTGCTGGTTACCAGCCCAATGCTTTAACCACAGCGCCACCAGCACTTCTTCTAACTAAATAAAAGAGCAAATTAAAGAGAGTTTGAGAATATTCTGGAATCCCACTCCCACTACTTGAGGAACCACGTACCAGAACTGGTCATCAGAGCGCCAGTGGCCCAGGGTTCGGTCTAAAGGGTTTCTGTGAACCTTGCTTGGGGACGTTATTTCAAGGACTGATAGGCCTTTTTAGGAGATCCTACACAGAGTGGGAGAGCAATGTGGAACAAAAGTCAAAATCATTAAAAAAAAAAAAAAAAAAAAGGTGGGGGGACCAAGTTTGCTGGTCTGATAAAATCTGACGGAACCCCTGTGCTGTGGCCCCTAGCTGCCCTTCAGGTCTGGAATTGAACCCACTCCCGTGACTTCCAGCCAAACAAAAGACAGGCTGAACATTTACATTAGGTAGAGACGCTCCTTGGAGAGATCAACATGGGAGGATAGAAGGGCTGTCTATGCACAGGGAGACAGCTCGGGGGCAGGAGTGCATGGAGGGAAGGACACAGGGAAGAGGAAGTGGGAGAGGGGCTGTTGCATTGTGGGAAATTGCAGTCCACGTCATGAGACACAGCATGTATGTGAGCTGCTGTATGGAAAGTGAATTTGCTCTGTAAACTTTCACCCAAATCACAACAAAAAATGACATAAAAGAACTAATAGGCTTTTTTATGTGGCAGTTTCTCCTGGCTCTGGCTTTAGCGGCTGTGTCAGGCACTGTGGACTCTAGTAAGTGTTTAACATGGGCACAGTCGAGAAGTTGCCGTGGGGGGTCCAGGATCCTCATTTAACAGCTCTAGGGGCAAGCGTTCCTACTTTGTCTTCTGGTGGAACTTGAGGTCATTTGCAAATAACATCCAAGCTGAGCTTGGGGAGGTGAGTCCAGGGCCTGAGAGGGTGTGGCGTCCCTTCTGAGAAAGACTCACAGGCGAGGGTGGCGCCTGGGGTTCCCTGAGGGAGCCATTCACAGTCAGAGGTGAGCCGACAGGATTCCCACTGGATGCTGGAGGGCGCATCCACGGGAGCGGCTCAGTTCCACCCTCAGACAGATGGAAGGCGAAGCGGGTGCCTCCTGCGGCGGGTGGCTCCTGCGGCGGGTGCCTCCTGCGGCGGGTGGCTCCTGCGGCGGGTGCCTCCTGCGGCAGGTGGCTCCTGCGGCGGGTGCCTTCTGCGGCGGGTGGCTCCTGCGGCGGGTGCCTCCTGCGGCGGGTGGCTCCGGCGGGTGCCTCCTGCGGCTGGCGTTCCGAGGTCTTCACCCGAGCAGCCCACAGGGCAGTGAGCCGTTGCTGTGTGCTGAACGCGCTGTGCTCCAGTGTAGGGCTGTGAGGGTGCGAGCGCGCACAGGAGGGGAGCGCCCAGCCAGCAAAGGCCTGGCTGCCTGCTCTCTTGGGGGTGAGAGTGAAAGGGCAGGAGCCCCGAACACCGAGCTGCTGGTGCCCAAAAGGCCTTGTGCCTCTGGGCTGTACTGTCCTAGCAAGAGGTGTGGGCCCCGGAGTCATAGCCGGCACCTCCGTCTCTTGTTAGCAAAGAAAAAAAAGCCCTAAGCTTTGCACTTGGTGGAATGCGGCTGGCTGTTTTGTGATCGGCAAGAGTTCTGGTGGTGCCATGGTTAAAGCATTTGGCTGCTAGCCAGAAGGTTGGCGGTTCAAACCCACCAGCTGCTCTGTAGAGGAGGGTGAGGCAGTCTGCTTCCCTCAAGGTCCACAGCCCTAGAAACCCTCCGGGCAGTTCTCTGTTCTGGAGGGTCACGGTGAGTCAAAACCGACTGCATGGCAGCGGGTCTGGGTTTTGGTTTTGGTTTTGGTTTGTGGTCTGCAGACTTAGCTGTGTGGCTCAGACATGTCCCCCCCCAAAGGGCCGACCAGGTGTCATCACCGGCCTGGCGGCTGGCTCTGCGCAGCTGCGTTGGCTCTGTTTCAGCAGTAACATACTGGATCCTCAGTGGGGCGGCGAGCGGGCTCCCTCTCGGCTGGGAGGTTCTGTACAGTCACACTCATGTTAACCGTTGGTTGCTGCTTAGTTCTCTGCAGGGGGGTGGGCAGGAGTCAATTTCAGTGTCGATGACCCTTCACACTTTTCACTTTTCCAAATGAAATACAGGACTTCGCCTACCTTAATCAGTTATCTTTATTTTCCTGTTTCAAGAAATATTTTCTTACCCTGAGTGAAATTAGTTGCAAAAAGACAGATACTGTGTGATCTAACTTGTTAGAAAGAAGCAAATGTGTAGAAAGCCAAGAGTGTCAGTGGTTACGGGGAGTGGGGCGTGGACAAAGGGAGCTTTGCTTGGGCGATGCTGAGTTTACGTGATGGTGGTGGAACCGTAGCGATGGCAGCACAGTGTGAAGAATGTCACTGTGGGATTGTAAAGTGGACAGAGCGTGGTGAGGCCGGGGGGGGGGATGGTTTCCCCACCATAAACGACATACAAGTGCTTCTTGGGTGTGTGAGTCTTGGCCGCAGCGCTGAGGTCTCGGTATAGCGCCTGCTTCCAGTGTCCTGATCTGTGTCGGCTGCCCAGGGTTTGCCTCCTCAGACCAGGAGTTAGTGGTGCGGTGACCTGCCAGGGTCACATAAGGTTGACCTGTGTGTGTCTGAGGGACCCTCCTGGCAGCCTATTCCCAAGCTCCCTGGCCTCTCTGGGCCTCGCCTCACACGCAGCCAGGACTCCAGAGTGCCACACAGACTGTGTGTGCTGTGACTTGAGAAAAGTTTCAAGCCCTTGGCTAGACGACTGTCAAATCAGAGAAAAAGGAGCGCCCTGTTTGGCTTGGTGGCGGTGGTGATCAGAAGACTCCCACCTTGGTTACCTGGCCATGCCCGTGTTCCTCCCAAAGTCTACCTGAAGTTACATAAACAGGGAGCCGCCGCTTGGCCACGCTGGAGTCATAGGCCACACAGGGGTGGGAGATTGAGGGGAGAGTGGGCTCAAGTAACAGAGGGCTGTTCCGGATTGGCTGCTGTCAGGAAGCAAGAGCACCTTGACAAACCCTCCGGAAGGTGGGGGAACGAAGGCAGCGAAAGCCGTGGTGAGTGAAGAGGGAGCCATCACCTACTCTGCCGGCAGGGAAAGGGGGCTTGTTTATAGTTTGCACAGTGGCCTCGTACTGTCTGCACTGAGCCAAGACTACGAAGTGGTCTTTTATGTTTTTGTTTAATTTTGGTCTCGTGTCCTGGTGACAGAGTGGCCTTGTCTGTGGTTGGTGTTCTGGAAGATCGTCATATTGGACAGGCGCGTGCCGAGGGCTGCTTGGCAGGGGCTGCGTTCCCCTTGCCCCAAGCCTGTGCTCCTAGCAGCTCATGGTGGTGATACGTGCCAGCTGAGGAGCGCCTCCCGCACTGCCTCTTCTCTCCGGGTTTGTCAGTCCTGGTCCTGTGCTCTGTGCCCTGTGCATAGTACGCCTGTGGGGATACCCCAGCCCGGACACACAAACCAGCTGGAAACACTAGGAAGAGGAAAAAGTGAAGGAAAGAGACGTAATGCTGTGTGGAGCTGGATGAGACCCCTCCAGACGTGTACCCAGGCTCCTTCTAACGCAAAGGCTCTGGCACGTTCTTGCTTCGGTGTCTGTGGACTGCCTGGTGATAGAGGAGGCAGGGCAGCAGGAAGAGCCACCACGCCAGCCGTCACAGGAATAGCTGGTGTGTGGTGTGGGCGTCACACGGTCAGTGGAAGAACTGACCGCCTTCTTGGTGGGCATAGCCCCTGACGGTCTGCGGGGAGCAGGGTTCGGGTCCAGAGGAAACATGGGCCTGTGGCAGAAGCCAGTTCAGTTGGAGAAAGGGCTGTAACCTACAGGTGGCACTTCTGGGGCGCTCTGACTGTCTGGGAGCCAGCCCAGGTGAGCGGCGTGAGTGGCGGCTGCAGGGGCAGGAAGGCCCAGGCCAAGAGAAGCTGGTTCTCGGAAACGGCCCAGCGGTGCTGGACTGTCTCCCGAACACGTGTCTAGGCTGGGGAGAGAAAAAGGACCAAGGAGGGAAGAGTCCCCACTTGGGGCGGATGGTGTGATGCGGACGAGTGGCGGGACAGGCCAGCTTCTGCGCGTGTTCCCTGTCTGTCAGGAACGGAGCTCTTCAGAAAAGGGCAGAGCCTGTCCGGCTGGTCGCGGCTGGTCGTGGCTGCTTCGCCCGTCGGAGCGCTGTCGGGCTCTGTTCCAGGTCAGGGCTTTGGCAACTGCCCACCGACCCACCCGGGAGCTGTCGAACCTTCGTCTCCTCTGCACTGGGAACCACACGCTGCAACGGGCACAATGAAAGTCATTCCCTGAGCTGTCTTTTCTCTGAAAAGAATCCCTGGGGTCTGCACTGTCTTAGTATCTCAGAGGGACCCAGGGGGCCCAGTGCTTAAGTGCTTGGTTGCTAACCAAAATGTCGGCAGCTGAACCCAACAGCCACTCCATGGGAGAAAGATGGGGCCGTCAGCTTCCATAAAGTTTACAGTCAGAAACCCTCTGGGGCAGTTCCACTCTGTCCTCTAGGGGCGCTGTGAGTCGGAATAGACTCCACAGCAGTTGGTGTGGTGTGGGCTTTGCTTCTGTAGAGACCGTTGTTGTTATGTGCCGTCGAGTCGGACCCGACTCATAGCAACCCCTCCTTGGGTTTCCGAGACAGTATGGAAGTAGATTGCCCAACCTTCCTTCCGAGTAAAGACTGACAGCCTAGGAAACCCTATAGGTGCAGTTCCACTCTGTCCTCTAGGGGCGCTGTGGGTCGGAATCAGCTCCACTGCAGTGGGTGTGGTTTGGGCTTTGCTTCTGTGAAGACTGATAGCCTTGGAGACCCTGTGGGCAGTTCCACTCTGTCCTCTAGGGGCGCTGTGGGTAGGAATTGACTCCATGGTAGTGGATGGGGTTTGCTTTGGTTTACGTTGTCTCACATGGGAATGGTGGAAGAGCAAGTCTGTTGGTTTTGATTGGGGTAAAGGGGAGTGGGTTGAAAGCACTGATGAACACTGGAAATGCCGTCACTTCCTCTGAAGCTCCAAAGGCTCAAGGATGCCAGAGCTTCGTGGCAGCATGACTTGTCACATGGGCAGTGTGGGCCCTTCCCAGGTGGTGGAAGAGGAGTGCAGCGTCTGTGGGGACACGTGCAGTGCTCCGAGATGCTCCCGTTCCATCTCCACGTTCATACCTGGAAGTGTCCTGGTGGCCTTCCGCCTGCTGGCATGTTCTGCAGACGTCTCCGTATGCTGCGGCTTCATTGTGCTTGTCAGAGAGCTTTGTGGATGCCAGGAACAGCGAGTGAGTGGGCACGATGTCTGGGGTTGGCAGCTTTGGGGGCGTGTTTTAACTTTAACTTCTGGGGGGAAAAGGAGCATACCTTAGGTGCTGCTGCAGGAAGTTGAGGTGCCTTAGACTTGCCCCTGGGGTTTGTGGATTCCTCTCTCCCCAGCCGCGTTTAACTGTGCAGGCACAGCCCCCGGGGCCAGGGCTGGTGGAGGTTTGGTGGCCTTGGTGCGCGGGTGTGGCAGAGCATGCCCTGCCTCCAGAGCCTTGGGGAGGGGGAGACCACAGTCTGATGAGAGTAACCCGTTAAGTTTGTTGCTCATCTTTTCCCTTTCACTCAACTCAAACCAAGTTCTCGTGCATTACTAGGTCGGAGACACGTACGGTAAGGATAGCGCCACCAGGGGCAAAGACAACCCGATTGCCGTATGTAACACCTCTTTGGACCCCCTAGTTTCCGGCTTTCTCTCTTCTCTCACCTCCTTCAGTTTTCCTAGGACGTCTGACTGCCCCTCAGTCCCTTGAGTGTTTTACATTGAATCCTCAAGGCTGGGGCTGTGCTCGGTGAACACGCTTCCACCAGAGCGTGCGGGTCACCTGCTGGTTCGAATGAAACCCTTTGTGGACTGCGCCTGCCAAGCACAGCTTTGAACCAGTTCATTTATAGCTGATGTGGCGAAATCGCAACAGACCTGAATTTGTAAAATGTGAGTGTACCGGAATAATCGTTGAAATGGGGAAAATGACAGGTCACAGCCCTGGAATGAGCCTCGGAGAACAGGACGAGCCCTTTCAGGAGCTTGACGGCAGGAGCCCGGATTGTCGCCCGCGCTGTGCGGAGCGGCACGTGTTCGAAGCAGCACGGTCTGCCGCCCCCTCGAGTGGGGCACCGTGCTTTCTGACTCCGCTGCTTCAGGGCTTTGGTCGCTGTGCAGCGTGCATGCTGCCGGGGTCTCCAGGAAGGAGACCGTCTCTAGCAGGGTGCGGTCTGAAACCTCCGTTTGCAGCCGTCCTTCCGGTGCGCCCCCATTTTACAGATTCAGGTCTGTTCTGGTTTGTCTTCATCGGTCATGACTGAACCGAGAAGAACCGGTTCGAGGCCCTGCTTCCAGGTCGAGGGAGGGCTTCTGCTAAAGGCCTCATGGGATTGGGACGCACACTGCGGGCCAGGGCTGGTGCAGGATTAACCTCTCCGCTCAGGGTCTCCTTTCCTACTGCAGTGGCCTGGGTGTGGTGCCGTGGGCTTGTGGGTGCATGGCTGCAGGCTGGCGAGCTAACCCAACTGTGCTTGAAATGGTTTGATCCACTCCGCCGCTGGGAGCCCTGGTGATCCTGGGCGGCTCGTGCCCGCGCCGGCACGTACAGATGCGAGGCGCCGCTGGGCGGGTCTCCTTCCCTTTCAGGTGCCCACCAGGGCTCAGGCGGATGGTGTAGTGTTAGCTGGGGGACTGTGTGCGTGTCACAAAGTAGACAGTTACTCTTTGCCAGAAAAGTGTCGTTTAAATCCAGCACTTTAGAAACTCTTGGGCATTTTTAGTGAAGGTAAATATTTAAATTTTGCTCCATACACAGTTCGGAACTGCAGGAAACCCCCAAGTGTTTCAGTTAGCCAGAGCGCTCTCCAAGGACCTCTTCCACCTGCCCTTCCTGGGAATCTCCTCAAGGGGCCACAGCTCAGGTGCAGGCTCGTCTGGGTGCTCGACCAGGGGCTGCAGCAGCCAGAGGGTGGCTGTGAACCCAGGGAGACGCCACACACGCGCTAGGCTAGCCTTTGTCAACCGGGAGAGGGCTCATCCGGCAAGGGTTTGCAACTCCACTTAGTGGCAGGACGGTGATGACCCGTTCCGAGAGCAGCACTGTTGTGGGAGCCCAGTGACACTGAGCAGTGCACATGCGGCTTCCCGGGAGGGCGGCCCTTGATCAGTGGCTCTTCGCGGGCCGCTGCTTTTGAGGAGGAGACGCTGGTCTGGGACTCTAAGAGCAGCACGTCTTGGTAGCTTTGCCACTCAAGGGCAGACGTGATTCCAGTTGGGGTGGGTCCCCAGGGGGTTAGCTGAGGCAGAAGAGGCCTCCCCGGGTCACTGGGGGGACAGGTCTGAAGAGCACATGCAGGGAGCGAGCTCTAGGCAGGCGCCTCGGGGGCCCCCCGCCCCGCCAGCACCCAGGCGCGCGTCCCCTCTGGGTCACTTTCTGAGCGCCCTGTTTCCTTTCACAGGACGTGTTCTTAATTTGCTTTTCCCTGGTGAGTCCCGCATCATTTGAAAACGTTCGTGCAAAGGTAAGTGGCAGTTTATTTTAATACATTTTCCCATGGGCCTCTTGGGAAGAAACGAAATTAAAAATTACAAGGGCGTTTCCTGGGAGGTTTTCAGCTATTGAGATCAGGCTTCAGTTGAGGCACACGCCCGTTTCTGTGGCTTCGGAACGCAGCTCTCTGTCTCAGAGGAAGGAAAGCAGGGTTCGATGGGAAGCGGGATGCCCTTGTGCGCGGACCGTGGAGCCGGTCAATGGGAGGAGCCGCCGCGCCTGCCTAGGCTTGTACCTTCCTGACTTCCTAGTGGTGGAAGTTCACAGCGAGATGCCCTGGGTGCTGTGACGGGGCCATTTCCTGCCGCGGTGCCGGCGGCTGCCTGAGCTGAGCCCTCAGTCCAGGTCGTCCATGTCTTCTCATCCCCAGCTACGTGGCGAGTTGGCCGAGGCCTGGAGCACTTGACACATTTTACTGAAAAGCGAAGTGACTGCCTTTCAGGGGACTTTCCCCTCCTTCCCACCCTCCCATCGCTTTTCTTCTGCTCCTTCCTTCTCACCTCCTGCCCCCTGCCCGCCAACGAGTGGAGCCTGTTCCAGAGTGTGGTTCATGTTGAGTGCGCCAGCTTGCTAGCCACACCCAGGGTATCCTTGTAGTGTGCTAAGGTCTGACCGGGAGTCAGCGAGGTCAGAGTCCGAGTGTGTGGGAGGCTCCATTGGGAAGGCAGTGACGGAAGGATTGGTCACACTGTGTGACACCTCTTGGCTATAACTTGGAAACAAGGAAGTGAAGGAAGCTTATAGAAGAGAAGGAGCTCTGGTAGCGTAGTGCCTAAGGCATTTCACTGCTAACCAGAAGGCTGGCAGTTCAAACCTACCAGCCACTCCTCAGAAGGAAGGTTGGGCAATCTACTTCCATAGAGATACTGCCTCGGAAACCCAAGGAGGGGTCGCTATGAGTCGGGTCCACTCAACACCAGTCCGGTGAGTCTGGTTTTCTGGTTGTGACCTTGGTTCTCGTTGCCCTCTAGTGGTACCCCGAGGTGCGACACCATTGTCCCAATACCCCCATCATCCTTGTGGGAACGAAACTCGATCTGAGGGATGACAAAGACACGATTGAGAAGCTGAAGGAGAAGAAGCTGACTCCCATCACCTACCCCCAGGGCTTAGCCATGGCTAAGGAGATTGGTATGAATCCCCTCTGTGTTGTCACGTCTGCCACGCCCCTGGGATTTTAGTTGGTTCCTCTTGCTCCGGGTTGGGCTGACTTTTGGGGGACCAGCTGAAGCAGGCCCCTCTGGGTCTGAGTGGTAGCGCTGCCAGGCTGTGCCCCTCTGCGGTGGGGCGGGCCGAGTGGGCACCGGGGGCTGTGACAGCTGTGCTTCCCGGCAGGTGCTGTAAAATACCTGGAGTGCTCTGCACTCACACAGCGAGGCCTCAAGACAGTGTTCGATGAAGCCATCAGAGCCGTCCTCTGCCCGCCCCCGGTCAAGAAGAGGAAGAGAAAATGCCTGCTGCTGTGAACGGCAGAGCCCTCCGCCCCTGCCCACCCTGCCCCGGACCCTTCACACGCTTTGCTCAGAAACGGTGGAGCCTTCGCACTCAATGCCAAGTTTTTGTTACAGATTAATTTTTCCGTAAAACCATTTTGAACCAATCAGTCGTTGCAGTTTTGTTGAATGTAAGAGTTCGAACTTTCACATTCTATTAAAATTTAGCCCTAAAACGACAAGCCTTATTAAAGCCTTATTTTTCCAAAGCCCTATTCTAGCTCAGATTAAGAGTTGCCAAAATCCCGTGAAGTCATTGCGTTGTTGTGCTGTGAACACTAAGCACTAAACTGTTGGAAAGACCTGTCTTTAAAGACTGTAGCTTCGTGTCAGGAAATGCAGCCGCCTTGACTGGTTTCCAGACATTCTGTAAAGCAGCCCAGACTCCTTAACCCAACATGGCCATTTAACGCATTCAGTAATTTATCAGCTCGCGTTCACAACGTAACCTTGTACTGTACGTCCTGATGGATTCTAACAGCTCAACCCTTTGGAGCTATCTTTTTGATTTTGTGAAATTTTTACAAACATTAGTTTGTTAGCTTTTGCTGAGATTTTGAACAAAGATCTTGTCCACATGTTTCTTCTGCTGAAGTATTCTGTGGGGTGGAGTGTGGGGGATATGATGTGATCAAAGGATGAAGACAGGATTTTGACAAGATCAAAAGTGCCGACTGATTTACACTACATTGTACAGGAGGACCCTGAACAAGTGTCACGGTCCAGTACAGGAGGTGACCCAGCAGGTCGGCGCCACCAGTGTTTCCTCCAGCTTTTCCTCTCGCACCTGCCACCCCTCCCACAATCGAGCATTTAACTCCTCTGGCCGCTCCCATAGATGCTAACTTAGTGCTCTTCTAGAACCCCTTCTTGACGAGCAATACGTCTCCTTGTATTATAAGAACTTCCTGATAATGCATTAGAATTTCGTTTTTTGTAGACGAGTCCGGTGCATTCTGCCCTCACGCTCCTTTATTCAATGCTAAGTGCTTTCCTTAGTTTTTCTAGTAATTTTAGGTGTAAAGATCATGTGTTGCTGCTTTACAGGTTTTAAACGATTTTAGATCCTTCAACTCTGACCCTCCCTTAATTAACATCACTGTCTTGCCAGATTGACACGGTGACTTGACTAACACTGACTGCCTTCCTCACCTCCATGGATGCAGCCGTTGTCCCCACTGTTGCTCTTCCTGAGAAGGTTCCCTTGGGTCCGTGAGGTTCTGAAACTCAGTGCTAACAATGTTCTGTGCACCTCACACACTGGCAAGAATACAGTGTCAGGCCGTCCAACCACTAGAACAGTTTTTTACATTGACAGTTGCAGGATTGTGTTTTTACACTGATCTTTTGCTAATGCAGTTAGCACTATGTTTTGCATGTATGATTAATAAATCCTTGAATCATACAACTGGTCATACTGGAATTTTTGAGAGCTTGGTGAACAGTCCCTCAGTGTGTCACTTGCCCTGTTAAAGCCCCAGGTTGTTGGGGAGGAAGAGTTGGCGCCTGGGGGACCTGAGTGATGTGAGCTGCTCACGGGTAGACAGCCAGCAGTTGGGTATGGGTGGGGTGCACATCCCGGGCCAGAGGTTTGGGGGGGGAACATGCATGTGGCGGTGGCGCTGGGCACAGCGGGACAGGGTGGAGCCTGCAGCTGTCCTACACAGTTACGTTCAAGTCGGCGCTGTAAATATCCCTGCTTGCTTGAAGACTCTTGTGGTTTTGAGTCTTTTATTTAGCAAAAGTTAAATACAGTTTGAAGATCAAATAGTTGTACAAGGTTTGTTACAGAACCAGTAGCCACCTCTTCACACACGCCCCAGAGGCAAGGACGATCTTGAACTTCGTGGGTCTAAACCACATGCTTGTCTCGCCGGCTTCCAGCTGCCCTGCCCCTTGTGGCAGGTAACAAACCTGCACACCCCCCTTGCCCATCCCTCAGCGTACTCATTTGGGTTGGCTCTCAGCTCACACTGTTGGGTGGCTCCAGCTTTGTGTGCAGCTGAGTTGTGAAGTAACGGCTTTTTTCCTCCCCCCACCTGTGGCGTCCCCTGAGGTCATTAACACGTTACTTACTTCTGCCTGTTGTCTAAATGGGTCCCTGCTGCTGAACTCCCGCGAAGGGTTCAGCTACACGAACATGGTCTCGATATCCGTGTTCCGGAAGTCTCGGTCACCCGGCCTCGCCCTCGTGTGCAATGTCTCCTCCACCCGAGTCCCTGGTTTGTTACTTTCTCACCTTGATCACACCCTCCCAAAGCGTCCTGAGAAAGGTTGTGTGGGAAGGTGGTCATTCTGAGCCCTAGCCATCTTTTAGAAGAAATCTTTTCTACTGTGATCCTTTGGGATGGGCTTGAAAATGTGGGTTAGAAAGAACTTCACCTACACGACTTTGAGACCAGAAGAACTAGATGGTGCCCGGCTCCCACTGTCAACCACTTGGAGGGGGATCTATGTAGGAGATGCTGGGATAGAGAGGGAGAACACTGTGGAACAAAACTCAAAATCATTTGTGGGGGGAAAAAAAAGAGACCAGGTTTGCTGGCCTGATAGAGCCTGATGGAACCACTGAGACTATGGCCCCTGGCTGCCCTTCAGGTCTGGAATTGAACCCACTCCTGTGGCTTCCAGCCAAATGAAAGATAGGCATATGAGTTGAACATGTACCTGAGGTAGATACACTCCTTGGAGAGAACAATCATGGGAGGAAAAAGGGTTGTGTACGCACAAGGAGACAGCTCAGGGGGCAGGAGTGCATGGAGGGATGGACACAGGGAAGAGGTAACTATGGGGAGGAAGTGGGAGGGGAGCTGTTGCATTGTGGGAAATTGTAGTCAATGTCATGAGACAAAGTGTATGTGAACTGCTGTATGGAAAGTGAATTTTCTCTGTAAATTTTCACCCAAATCACAATTGAAAAAAACAAAATGAACTTCAGATTTTGGAAGGCAGTTTCCCCCTTGTCTTCCATAGCCATTTCTCCTGCGTGAAGATGTCTTTTCCTTGGTTATCAATCTTGGGGATTTCCCTTGTCTCATGCCCCAAGGTTTCTCCACTGGGCTCCTGCCCTCGGAAGTGTGTGTCTGTTCTGTTTTGAGAATAGTGTTACTCAGATGCCGCGCCTCCCAGCACAGGCTCTCCCCTTCCCTTCCCCAGTCTCATTTTTGGTTTCACCCACTGGGATTTGCATCATGGTTCCGTTGCTCTGTTCCCAAGCACAGCTACAACAGCTGGAAGCTTCCCCTGGAGTCCTGTTTCAAGTGTCTGGTGGCCTGGGCTCCAGCTGACGGGTTGAGAACCTAAGAGCAGACTGAAATGGTGCACGGTGGGTGACAGGAGTGCAGTGCTGCTCTAAGTGTCAAGTCTTTGGAAATGTTTAGAAACGTACAGTGACCAGACATTGCCGTGCTGTGTCAACCATCCGTGACGAGTTATCTCCACAGCTGGCAGTCTCTGCAGGTCCTTGGCAGCAGGGCCGGAGGTGATCTGGCTGGGATGCTGGGGGTGAGGCCTGAGGAAGCTGCCTCTAGGTCAGGCTTCCAGGAGGCCCAGTCTCCCTCCCACAAGCACACGGGGCTAGGGTGCCACTTTCCCGTGAGCCACCGCACTCTGGCCGCTCGCCTCGCCTGCTTCACACGGCCCCCGGGACTGCGCTGTCAGCTGGGTTCCTTCCTTCCCTGCTCACGATACTCTGTGTCCAGCCACCTGATCCCCAGCTTCTAAGGCCTAACTCTTCTTGTCCCCTTTTCCCTGTCCTTAGGGGTTTCCTGCCATTTCACTGGGGCTCTCCAAAAAAAAAAAAAAAACCCACTGAACTCAGTGCTACTGACTTTATTCCAACTCGGCGACCCCCATGGGAGCTCTGGTGGCATAGTGCCTATGGCATCTGACTGCTAACCGGAAGCTGGTGATTCAAACCCACCAGCCACTCCTCAGAAGATAGCAATCTACTTCCGTAGTGATACCACCTTGGAAACCCAAGGAGGGGTCACTATGAGTTGGAATCAAGTCAACAGCAGTGAGTTTGGGAGCTCTGGTGGCGTAGTGCCTAAGGCATTTGACTACTAACCAGAAGGCTGGTGGTTCAAACCCACGAGCCACGCCTCAGAAGGATGGTTGGGCAATTTAGTTCCATAGAGATACCACCTTGCAAACCCAAGGAGGGGTTGCTATGAGTCAGATCCAACTCGACAGCAGTGAGTTTGGTTTTGTGGGTTTCCTGTCAGTTCACTGGTGGTGGTGGTGGTTAGGTGCCGTTGAGTTGTCTCCAACTCACAGCGACCCTACGCACAGCAGAATGCAACACCGCCCGGTCCTGAGCCAGCTCCACAATTCTTGCTACACTTGAGCCCATCACCATCGCCACTGTGTCAGTCCACCTCGTTAAGGGCCTTCCCCTCTTTCGTTGACCCTCCACCTCACCAAGCATGACATCCTTCTCCAGGGAATGGTCCCTTCTGACAACATGACCAAAGTATGTGAGATGAAGTCTGGCCATTCTCACCTCCAAGGCGCATTCTGGCTGCACTTCCGCTTCCGCCAGGGCAGACCTGTTAGTTCTTTCAGCATTCTTCACCAACACCACAGCTCAAAACCATCAACTCTTCTTCGGTCTTCCTTATTCATTGTCCAGCTCTCACATGCATATGAGGCGACTGAAAATACCATGGCTTGTGATCAGGTGTACCTTAGTCCTCAAGGAGACATCTATGCTCTTCAGCACTTGAAAGCAGTCCTTTGCAGCCAATTTGCCCAGTGCTATATATCATCTGATGTCCTTACTGCTGTTTCCATTGGCATCAATTATACAATCAAGCAATGTGAAGTCTTTGACAATTTCACTATTTTCTCCATTTCTCATAATGCTGCTTATAGGTCCAGTTGTGAGGATTTTTGTTTTCTTTATATTGAGATGTAATCCATACTGCAGACTGTATTCTTCAATCTTCATCAGTAAGTACTTCAAGTCAGCCTATTTTCAGCAAGCATAGTCATGTCATCAGTGTATCACAGGTTAATGATTCCTCCTCCAATGCTGATGTCATGTTCTTCATGTAATCCAGCTTCTCAGATTGAGTTAAGTATGGTGAAAGGATACAACCCTGATGCACTCCCTTCTTGATTTTAAACCATGCAGCATTCCCTTGTTCTGTTCGAACGAAAGCCTCCTGGTCTATATACACGTTCCTCATGAGTACAATTAAGTCTTCTGGAATTCCCATTCTTCTCATTGTTACCCACAATTTGTTATGATCCACAGAATCAAATGCTTTTGCACAGTCATTAAAATACAAGTAAACATCTTTCTGGTGTTCTTTACTTTGAGCCAAGATCCATCTGACATCAGCTATGATATCCCTTGTTCCACGTCCTCTTCTTAACCCAGCCTGCACCTCTGGAAGTTCTCTGTCAATATACTGCTACAACCATTTTTGAATTATCTTCAGTAAGATTTTACTTGCATGTGATATTAATGATATTGTTCAATAATTTCCACATTCTGTGGGATCACCTCTCTTTGGAATGAGTACAAATATGGATCTCTTCCAGTCAGTTGGCCAGGTAGCTGTCTTCCAAATTTCTTGGCATAACCAAGTGAGTGCCTCCAGTGGGGCATCCATATGTTGAAACATCTCAATGGGTATTCCGTCAATTCCTGGAGCCTTGTTCCTCATCAGTTCCCTTAGTGCAGCTTTGATCTCTTCCCTCAGTACCACTGGGTCTTGATCATGTATGCCACCTCCTGGAATGGATGAAGATCAATCAGGTTTTTTTGGTACAATGACTCTGTGTATTCCTTTCATCTTCTTTCGATGTTTCCTGCACCATTCAGTATTTTCCCCATAGAATCTTTCAATATTGCAACTTGAGGCTTAAATTTTTTCCTCAGTTCTTTCAGCTTGAGAAATGCCAAATGTGTTCTTCCCTTTTGGTTTCCTAACTCCAGGTCTTTGCACATTGCATTATAGTAATTGGCTTTGTCTCCTTGAGCTGCTCTTTGAAATCTTCTCTTCTGCTCTTTTATCTTGTCATTTTTTCCATTTGCTTTAGCTACTCTTTGCTCAAGGGCAAGTTTCAGAGTCTCTTTTTGACATCCATTTTGATCTTTTCTTTCACTGGGGCTCTCAAAAAAAAAAAAACCTCAGTGCCATCAAGTTAATTCCAACTCATAGTGACCCCCATTGGGTTTCTGAGGCTATAAATCTTTACAGAAGTAGATTGCCCCATCTTCCTTCCATGGAGCAGCTGGTGGGTTTGAACCATGGACCTGCCCAGCAGCCAAATGTCTACCCACTACACCACCAGAGCTCCTTCCTCTAGAGGGAGTGAAATTAGATGCCTATACAATCCACTCTTCAGCCAGGATGCCAAGACAACTCAGGACTTTGTTTACAGAACACAGATAAAAACACCTTCAACACAACTGCTGTGAGACTGCCCAGACAATGGACCTCCCAGCACTGTCCGGGCAGACAAGGATGACGTGTGTAAGTGCTGTGTGAGCTGAACTCTTGGAATCCGCCGGTCCACCTCAGCCAGAACGGTACTGAGGATTAAATTCATCCACTGCTGCTACTGGATGAGGTGGGGGAATATGGCCACTGGTCCCCGTCTTGAGGCTGTTAAAAGATGCCCAGTCAGTGCCTCCCAGAAGGATACCCAGCTTTCCACAGGATGTGTGGCTTCTCTGTCCTCACAACCGAGGAGCTGTCTGTGCAGGCGGGGAAATGGTACCCTGTGCGCCAAGATCAGCGTCCCCGTGGGCAGGATGAACCCCACTGGGGGCAGGGCTACCCGATGGCTGGAGTCCGCAGGCCCATTCGAGGCCTTAATACTGCCTACTGGTTTCTCACCCTCCTCAGGGCCGGGACACAGGCCAGCGGGAGGGGCTGCTGAGGTCCTGTGCACGCTGCCCTTGACTCCCACCCTCACGTCCCATCCCCTGCAGGCTCTCCTGACTCCAGATCCCACTGAGATCCACAATTTCCGCAAAGTTACCCAGTTGCTTGGAAGACCACTGAATGTAGTGACCTTCTAATTCCTAGTGATGAAAGTCCAACGTATTGGAAGACTAGGGTCCGAGTCAGTGTAACAACCACCAAGCTCCGTGTTCCCATAGCGGCCTTCAGAAGCTGGGGCTACACCGCGTCCCTGGCAGCAGCTCCCTGAGCCAGGCAGGAAACGCAGGCCGCTCTGTCCGAGACCACGCGGTCCAGCGCTCGCATCAGAACATCTGGCATGTGGTCCGTCAGCATCTTGGGGCCTATGAGGATCCTGCTGAATTCTGACTCGTGTGACCACTTGGCAGTGTAGTGTGAAGCAGAACAGCAAAACCTGGAAGATCCAAGTGGACACGTTAGTTATCGAGGCGTCACGGGCTCTGGACGGGTGTGGCACAGAAGGAGCCGGGTCAGACTCCACGCCCGTCCGGGCACCCGACACTGGCACTCACCTGCCCGAAGGACCCTCTTCCTCCAGGTGGATGATCCTGCCGGGGGGGTACAGCGGGGGGTACTTGGACGGGGAGTGCAGGGGGGACTCGTCGGAGCAGCTGTAGGCCGGGGACCAGTGTGCCAGCAGGCTCTGCTGCCCCAGGAGAGGCCGCGTGAGGTCCCCCTGCTCGCCCCCGTCCAGCTCCGTCGGAAAGCTGTCGGGGTCCCCTCCAAACAGCTCATACCAGCACCCGTGCAGCAAGATCTTGTACTGCCCGGAGAGATGGAAGGCATGTGACTGACGGGCTCTCACCGTCCCCGCGAGCACACCCTGATGGGGCTGCTCCTGTCACACCCAGCAAGCCAGAGCAGAGGGCCAGCAGCAGCCACCGGCCTCGACATCTTGGCTGCCAGGGCACCAGACCGTGGGGTTGGTGAGTGTGGGCGAGGCCCAACTCGGGTGTCTCCCGGGCAGTGGAACCATGGCATAACCTAGCCGTGGTCGAGTCACCCGACTCGTCATGGCCCCGCGTGCGTCAGAGCAGAGCTGCCGACGGGGTCTTCAGGGGCTGCTCTTGCAGTAGGCTGGACGCCTCTCGGGAGACTCTAACCGCCAGCCTTCCGGTCAGCGGTGGGCGTGCTAACTGCCCACACCAGCCAGGAACTCTATTCTACCTGCAGCAATGTTTACAAACAAAATCCTGCACATGCTTTAGGAAAAATTACTCTTCATTCTTTTCAGGCAATACTGCAAAGCAGTATGACCCTTCCACCAAAACATTAGTTATTAACTTAAAATATGCTTTTATAAGTGATGAGGAGAAGCTTTATTTGGAAAAAATATTGTGACTAGCAAGAAAGCCACAAAATTTCAGAAGACATAAAAGGTTAAAAAAAAATGGAAAATCGTCTTCCAGAAAGACCACATTTTGTATTTTCTCAAATTTCTGTCCAGACTCACCTGCACATCTTTGTCTCCTTCCCCTGCCTTGGCCATCCCTCTAGGAATCGTTTTTAAGCTTCTTTTTCAACTTTTCATTCATTACCTCATGGGATACAAACAGACGTCACCGTTCCCCATGACTGCGTGATACTCGGCACGGACAGACCAGCGCCTCCAGGATCTGGCAGCCTAGTTTCCATGCCCCGAGACAGTGAAACCAAAGGGCATCAGAGTACTGTCTGTCAGGAGACGGGAGGCGGAGCTCCTCGGGGCAGTTCAGGGGCCTGTTTTCACCACTGCTGTCTGGAGGGGGCAGGCAGAACCTGAACCCACGGCACGAGCTGCCCTGGCTCTGAGGCTACGAGGGAAGAAAGCCCCTTCCACTCTCCCAGTCTCCCAGAGGCCACGGCCCTGCAGCCCCTCTGCAAGTCCCCCCAGTCACCTTGGGCTTGTTACAGTGTGCGATCACCCGTAAGATTCTATTCTTCAGATCTTCCAAGTTGGTCACGCTTAACCTGTTCGGAAAGGGCCAGGTGAGACTGGGCAGCCAGTGTGTGTAACCCCCACCACACAGCCCCAGCCCCCCCACCAACACACCTGGGGATCACGTCCTTCCCGAGGACAAGGGACACGATGAAGTTCTTGGAGTATTCGTGGAGGGATTTGCTGAAATGCCAGAAGAAGGAGAAGAGTGAGTGTGCTGACCGTGCTGCCCACAGGGAGACATCCCGGGCCATCTGCCAGGTGAGAGGTGCCCCTCCTCCAAGTCCACTCTGTCCCGTGTCCTCCGTGCGTGAGGAGGAAGTGAGCTGAGAGACTTCAGCTACAACCGTTCACGGCAGCTACACCCGCACTGAGCAGAGGGCATCCGGCTAAAGTCTCAGCCGGGGTCAAGGTGCAATCCCACTGCAGGGTGTCAAAGCTGCGCAGAAAGGCCCCGCAGGAGCCCATCTGTGCAGGGGAGCATGAACCCCGAGTGACTGTGCTCAGTGAGGCGTCAACCCATGAGCTACATGCAGGCTCCAGGGCCCGCTGAGAAAGTGACAGGCTGCAGAAGGGCACTGAGCCTATGTGACCTTTGATCTAAGAAGGGAGAGGAACACAAAGAGCAGACACAGGCTGCTCCTGTGGAAACAGACGAGAACAGTCAACACGTAAGGCAAGGAACTGCCCCACGGCTCCCCGGGGGAGGGCCGGGAGGGAAGCCAGGTTTCCCTCCATGCCCCTCCGTGGCTACCAACCATGGCCGCCAGACTACAGTCACAGCATCAGGAACCAGAGGAAACCAGCCCACGTCCCGGTGTATTAACCACACGCAGGAGAATTAGATTAAGTGACTTTACAACAACAGAAACGTGTACACCCCCAGGAGCGTGTTCTGACAGTGACAGAAACGGCAGAGGAATCTCGGTGCAAACCCCCCAAGGCAGCTCGGAGGACAGGCCTGGCAACTTGCTCCCAGAAGGTCATGGCCTTGAAGTCCCCCTGGAGCCCAGCTCCACTGCACACAGGCTGGGCTGCCAGGAGGCCAAAGGGACAGGATGGCAACAGACGACAACGCTGTCAGATATGACCCTGTGGTGACTGTACTGCAACTGTGACTGACTTAGAGAAATGCAAGGAGCAAGGGCAACGTGGGCAGGCACCAAGACTGCTGACATAGGGAAAACCAAAGAATTTCAGCAAATACCAGTATACAATTAAATATATTCAGTAAAAACCCTGACTTTCCATCTTAGTCGGAAGCATCAATGTGAACTAAGGACATATATTCTCTGTAGAATAAAAGAAAAGTATTCTCTGGCACTTTCCACGACTAGCCTTGTGGCGAGAGTCCCCCTACCAGCGCACAACCATCTCCAAATACCTTTTCCCTATGAAAGGATCCGGCACACCTTGGAGAAAGGGTTGGCTCCAGATGTGGAACAGACAGAAAACTGAGCCTGAAACACTGTTGTACCAGAAAACAGGAAAACTATCAGGCAACTGGGGTGTGTGACCAAAGTTTGGAGAAGCTGACTATGATGGGCCTGCTGGCCAAAGATGGGACAAGCTGAACACCAGAAGGCCGAGTACTACGGACTGAACGCGGTGCGCTTCAACTCATCAGTTGATGTGTGCAGCCCCTAGTAACACAAGGCATCTGTAAGAGCCTCTGGCGGCAAACATCAGAGACAAGCAGGCAGCACGTGGCCCCACACACTAACCCGACTCTCTCATCTCAGACACATCTACCCTTTTGTAGAATTACAAGTAACCATGGAGGCAGACAGAGCAACACAGCAAATGCCACTCTGAGTGGCCAGGTCCAGAATCGGGCACTGTTCTTCAGAACAAATGACCTGGCTTCTCTGACAAAGAGGGAAAACTGAAGAGGAGCGGGCGATCGGTAGGCCACTCAGACGGCTGAGACAAACCCACCACGTCCACCACGAGGAGCGACGGGGTCTCCACACTTGTATTTTCCACATTGTGATGGACACAAACTCCTCCCATAACCAGGACACAAGCTTGTAGACAATGGCCCAGGTAAGTGTGCCAAGTCAGGACATGTCCAAAGACTGAACTTAGAATTCTGTCATTCAGCAAATCAAAGCTACAGGCAGAGGCCTGAGAAAGGCCAGGCATTCCTTCTTCTACAACTTCTTAGTCTCAAAACACAAATTTCACCCGAGGAGGAGGAAACAGAAGAAGTGACACAGATGAGTGTTGCCCCCATGGTCAAGTGGCGCCACGTTCCACGTGAGGAGACGTTACCTCAGCAGCCCTCTGGGAGGTGAAAAGGCGTAGCACCTGACGTGTGGGTAGGCGCCCCTCAGCATGAGGGCCAGCAGGGCTGCGGCGCCGGCCCCCAGACTGTGCCCCACCAGGACCAGCCGGTACTCCTGCAGAACGGAGCAGAAGGAGGGGAGGTTGGAAGGAGGAAATGGCCAGTGAGGAAACGCAACCAAAGACAAGTAAAGAGACTCTTACAGGAGCAACGCTGAACGCTTGGCTCAGAATCCCGTCGTTGAGGAGTCGTCGGTAAACATAGCGGGCGGCTTGAGCGATGCCCTAAACACGCAGACAGAGAAGGTGGCGATTAGTCCCCAGACCAGGCTGCTCCCACCAGGACCCCGAAGGCAGGGCTGCATGTGTACACACTTGGGTAATTCTCAAATGTCAGCGTCACGGGATTGGCGGCCACAGAGGCTGAGCACTGCCTCGCCCTGGCTCCTCGCACAGAACGTGAGGAAGTGTGTGCTCTGCAGGCGTCTGAGTGAACAAATGAACGTCTGAGTGAACGAGTCAGGAAGGCCTCCGCATGCCAGTGGTTCTCTTGTGGCCTTTCTGGAACTGACTTGGATCACAAATGCCCAATTCTTTTTCTTTTTTAAATTGTGATTTGGGTGAAAGTTTACGGAGCAAGTTCATTTTCCATTCAGCAGTTCACACCGTTGTCTCACGACACTGACTGAGTTCCCTGCAATGCAACAGCTCTCTTCCCACTTCCTCCCTGTGCTGACCTCTCCCCTGTGTCCTTCCCTCCCATGCACTCCCGCCCCCTGAGCTGTCTCCCTGCACACACACTGCCCTTCTGATCTCCCAGAATTGTTCCAGGGAGTGTAAATGGTCACCCCGGATGCCTGTCTACTGTTTGGCTGGAAGCCTCGGGAGCGAGTTCAATTCCAGGCCTGAAGGGTGACTAACAGCCACGGTCCCAGAGGTGTCACCAGTCTCTATCAGACCAATAAGCCTGGTCTTTTCTGTGCATCTGAGATTTGTTCCACATTGTTCTCCCACTCTATCCAGGACCTCCTTCACTGGTCCCTTTCCGAGTGGTTGACCGTGGGAGCTGGGCACCACCTAATTCTTCTGGTCTCATGGTCATGTAGGCTGAGGTTTCCATGGCACCCCAGTCCTTTAGACTACTGTTTCCATGAGTCTTTGGGTTTTTTCATTCTTCTTTGCTCTGGATGAGGAGAGACCCATAATTGCATCTAGACAGGCACTTGAAATCTTTTAAGACCCCACTCGCTACTCACTAAAGTAGGATGTAGAACAATATTTTTGTGTAGTATGTTATGCCAATTGAGCTTGCCATCCCCTGCTAACACAGCCCTAACAACTGGCTTCCTCAGGGTGGCTGGCTAGGCAAGAAATGATCATAACTTTAAATGTCCAATCTTTTTAAGTGACTTTAAAACACACATCAATGACACTGACTAAGCACCCCATTCCTGCAAAGGAAAACGGCTACCATCAGACGTGAGTTCTGGGGAGATCCGACCTGGGCTTAAATGCGTGTGGGACCCTGCACGGCAGCCCGGGCCTCATCCTTCTGCAGCATCTACTGGAACAGGGAAAGGCACAGGAGACGGCGGGGCCACCTCTAAAGCCACGCACGTCCCTGCGACTCGGGGACTCTACCTTTCTGCGAGTGGAACACCCACCCTGGCATCAAAGGGAAGAGACAGGAAGGCGCCGGCGTCCTGTGGGCAGTGTGACAGCTCTGCCTGGCAAGCCACCACTGCCCCTCTACCCCCTCCAACCGTGCAATGCACAGATTCAGTGCCTGCGACGTGGCACACCTGCGTGCTCAGAGCTGACGGAACACAGGCCACAGGCACTGTGGCGCATCCTGGCACAGGCATGAAACACACAGAACGCCGAGATGGTTTCCAGTTATTGGGGCAGCACTGGAGCCCCCCTTGGCACCATGGAGGCCAAGAGTAGGCACACATCACAGCCCTGGCCTCAGTCAGCCGCTGTCCACCGTGAACACCCAAAGGACAGGAGAGGCCTGGTGAAGGCTTCCCATGCACCAAACACCTGCAAGACTAGACTGCAACCAAGGCCACACACACAGGACATGGAGGCCACTGCAGCCAGCTGGTGCTGTCCCTGTGACAACCTGAGCCAGCGTCCACTGACAGCAACACGAGCTCAGTTAATTATTCCCTGTGTTTTCTTCACATACGTGCACCCAACCCCATACCCACCACCGTGGAGTCGATTCCGACCCACAGCGCCCCTAGAGGACAGAGTGGAACTGCCCACAGGGTCTCCAAGGCTGTCAGTCTTCACAGGAGCAAAGCCCAAACCACACCCGCTGCTGTGGAGTCCATTCCGACCCATAGCGCCCCTAGAGGACAGAGTGGAACTGCCCACAGGGTCTCCAAGGCTTTATGAAGCAGACTGCCACATCTTTCTCCCACGGAGCAGCTGGTGGGTTCACACTGCCGACTTTTCAGTTAGCAGCCAAGTGCTTAATCCCTGCCCCACCAGGACTCCTCGTGTACCAAATAAGTCAGGTTGGAGTCTTTTGTGAATTGAGGCACAAAAAGTAGCTGAGGGGTCAAGACTTTCCTGAGACTATCAAGCTTCTACTTAGCAGCAGAGAAAAATGCCTAAATTTCGCACGTTCCTGAAAAGCACACACCATCACGGGACATGGGCTCCAGCGCCTACAGACTCTTTCGAGAACTTTTTTTTTTTTTTCCTTCATATTAAGCATTTTAGTTAGCACAGAAGTAGTAAATATCTTGGTTCAAGAAACACAGCATAAAAAGTATATAAAGTAAAGTCTGAGTCCTGGCCCCCACCCCTTACTTCCTCAAGCTTCTCCCCAGAAGTGACCTCTGTGAATCTGTGGGAGTGAATCATGACAGACGTCCCCCCAAATGTTGAACACTGCTCCCCTCACAGCTCAGCTTTCAGCCCCACAATAGACAGGTCTATGGGACAACACCGGGGAGGTACACACGCCTCAGAACAAGCAACCCTGCGGACTCAGAAGGGCAGCAGGTGCCCAGGGAGAAAGCCCCGAAGGCAGGAAGGGAAGGAAAGACGGGCAACGGAAACAGGAAACCCAGGGAGGAGGGGGAGGAGTGTGCTTCTGCTCTGGGGGTTGTAATCCACACCCCGAGATAAAATGAGCCTGCATTGTTGAAGGGAAAGCTAAGCTGCTGCTGTGTGAACCTTCACCCCACCCACAATGAAAAGCTAGAACTAACTGCTCCGGGCTGTCCTCTGGCGGCCACGTGAACCCATCCAGGAGGAGTGATTCTCACAGGGCCCAGCGTCCATGGGGGGTGCTTACTGTCCCTGTGACCTGTTGTGGACTGCGCAGCAGCAGCGTCTCCCGGAGAACGCACTGCTCCGAGAGGGAAGGCGAGCCCAGGGTCTGGGCACAGACTGGGCCCGAGTGTCCAGGCTGACACTTCCTTCCCACGAGGACTCGAGCCAGGTCATCACTCTCACCTCAGTTTCCCTTAAAAAGCCAGCAAAGAGCGAAGCTCACGGCCGCCGTGAGAACCAACATGGGGAACGCAGCCCGCCTCGGCCAGGAAACGGCTTGTGGTCGCCGCAAGAACCGACATGGGGAACGCAGCCCGGATCAGCCAGCAAACGGTGAGCTCATGGCCACCGTGAGAACCGACACAGGGAACGCAGCCCGCCTCGGCCAGCAAACGGTGAGCTCGTGGCCGCCGTGAGAACCGACACAGGAACACAGCCTGACTCGGCCAGGAAACGGTGAAGCTTGTGGCTGCCGCAAGAACCGACACGGGGAACACAGCCTGGCTCGGCCAGCAAACGGTGAGCTCGCGGCCGCCATGAGAACCGACACAGGACACAGCCCGGCTCGGCCAGGAAACGGTGAGCTCGCGGCCGCCGTGAGAACCGACGCGGGGAGCGTGGGCCATCTCAGCCAGCACTCGCACGTGTCAGAATCCAGAGAAGGGCAGAGTCAGAAGCTCCTGGGCCCTCAGTTTCCCCTCACGAGACACTCCGGACCACACCCGCGGGGCCGCCTACCTTATGTGCCACACAGTCTTGCAGCTCGGCCCCTAAGTCGAGGGGCTCACTCTCCGCAGACAGGTCAGTGAGGACATCCTACAACAGAACACAGTGAGGGGACAGGCCATCACCTGGGCAGATGAGGTTGGGGTGGCTGTGCACCATCTGAGCTGATGGGGAGACCCTGGGGTCTGTGGGGAAGTGAGGCAGCTGAGTGACAGACCCTGGATGCCCGGACCCGGGAGAGAAGCCAGCAGCAGGCATCCTGAGGCACCCGCACACGGCTGGCTCCAGGCCAGGCCTGGGCTGCGGGGAAGACACCAGATGTCTGTGACACACGCTCCGCTAGGTGGCCACAAAGTCCAAAGCCTGCACCAGGGCTCTGAGCAACGTGTGTTCTTGTTCTCAAGGGGCTAAAAGTCAAAAGCTAGTGGAAATCCAAGACAGAGAACGAGGCAGATCAGACCACAGAGGGCGAGCACTGGGGGGCGGAGCGGGCGCTAGGGGACAGCAGGGCCAGTGACCCAGCCAGCAAAGCCATGATCTGGAACCGGAACTTTAGACTGAAAGCTGTGGGGAGTGCTGAGTGGTCCCTGAGGAATGACCTGGGCTGAGCCATGTTTGAGCAGGCACGCTCTGCAGGCGCACAGGACGGACTGGAGAGAATGGAGCCGGGGCAGCAGTGAGAGAAAACGGCCAGAGACCAGGGCAGAACCGCACACCCCATGGACGGGGCCACGAGCCAGGAGACACCAAGACGACTTACACAGGCAACCGAGGGACACTGGTGGGAGGGGAAGTGGGAGGCCGAGGGAGAGCAGAGCTGGGAGAAGAAGGGGAGGCTGGGCTTCTGGGGGGCCCCTGGGAAACCCAGACCCATCTGGAGACTCGGCCTGCAGCCAGGAGCAGAGCTGCAGCCGGGGCGGGCCAAGTGCCGCACCGAACTGGCAGAGAGCACAGTGGGATGAGGGCACCCACTCTGGGTTAGCAGAGAAGTAACAGCTGGGAGATGAGACTGCAACCAAGAGCAAACCAACAGAAAGGAGAGGGGTTTCAAGAGCAAGTGTCTTTTGGGGCAGAGAAGCCTGAGGTGAGGAAGGCAGGGGATCACTGGGCCTGAGGATCGAAACACGCCATTTCTCACTGGACCTGGAGCAGCAGCCATGTGGGAACCCACAGGCCCAATGAGGCAGACAAAACAGCTGTGTGACCGGGGCTAGCACACTGGGCTTCCTGCCCCATCTAGTTTTGGGGTTCTGGGTGTGGAAAACTGGAGGGTCACCCAGATCTGGGGCAGAAATCAGGTGGGAGGGGAGGCAAGCGGGTCTCCCTCAAAAACTCCCCTTTTAGGAGCCAGACCTGCTGCCGTCTGAGTCCGTCTCTGACGTTTTCCCGTTAAAGGAACGTTGTCGTCCATCCTCGCACAGAGGGACTGTCCCACATCCCCACTCCATCCCTGGTTTTCCTTGTGTCTAATGGAATGTTCTTGCTTCCAGCACAGGACCTCCCAGCACTGGTAGCTAGCCTCCCCGGAGCCCAGCCCCACCTCCCGATTCATGGGCCTGTTACCTGGAGAGACATGGTTCCTCTCACGGCAACCACAACAGACTCCTTTCTGTGGTCCAGAGCCACTAGAAAGGGGAGCTCGTACACCTGCGGGACCAAGAGACACATGCATGAGCCTGGCTCTCCAGTGACAGACACCCAAGACCCATCACAGAGACAAGGGCCGTGGACGCCTCTCCCTCATGCTTGCAGAGCGTGATGCCCGATATCCTGTAAACAAAGACGAACCATCTTCTACGAGACGCGTCCTATGCTCTCTGAGCACCCCTCTGACCTCCACGATGCTGTCACAGAGAGAATATGACCTAACGTCACCTGCCTCGTTTCTGCCCCCAGCATCACCGGGGAGTCGATGCATACAGCGAGTCAACTGCAAGTCACCCTTCGGGGCAAGGACACAGCAGGGGCTCACCACAGACCCTCCTCAGGTCACCACCAGCCCAGGCACCACCTGGGGTGAGGACCAGTGTCATCAAGCACAAGGTCTAACCGGTTAGAACCCCTCCAGAGTCACCTACTTTGTGTCTGAACAAGGGTGAGGATCCCGAGCGATGCAAGTGGTTCACGCACTCGGCTGCTAGTCAAAAGGCTGGAGCTCGGAGTCCACCTAGAGGTGCCTCGGAAGAGAGGCCTGGCATCTATTTCCCAAAAGTCAGCTGCTGAAAACCACACAGAACACGGTTCTACCTGCCGCACGTGTGGGGGCGCCCTGAGCTGGAGCCAACTGAATGCAACTGCAGGCAGCTCTGGGGGCGCAGTGCCCCAGGCACCTGACTGCGAACCTGAGGCTGGCGGTTCAAACCCACCAGCCACTGCTCAGAAAGAAGGAGGGCCGATCTATGTCTGTAGGGCTACCACCTCAGAAACCCAAGGAGGGGTCGCTATGAGTCAGATCTGACTCGACGGCAGTGAGTTTGGGTTTTGGTTTTGGTTTGGATACAATGGTGGCAAGGTTGGGGCACCAAGGTTTTGATCTCATATAAGCATCACTGAGAACCACCCAGCTGGGAGCTGTAATTCCAGGCTGACACCTTCAGAGTCGGAGTCCTGAGAGGGCACCACAGGGGTGCTGGGGTTAGCTGACCTCGGCTGGAGCTCAGCTCTGCCGCTCCCTGCTGGGTGACCTCAGGCACACGCCCCTCGTTCTCCCCATCTCGTCTTTGCAGGGGATCCAAGATCACCAACCCCAAAGGCTGGGGTGCAGACTGAGAGGAGAAAACAGCCGGGTGGGGCGGGCAATCGGCAAAGACAGCAATTACAAGGACGACGGTCACTCAGCTATGAAGGTCACTTGTCTGGAACAAGCAGAACTGACCGCGGCTTCCTTCTCCTCCCTCAACAGAAGAAGATGCCCTGATGACTGAACTGTGCGTTGACTCCTGGATAAGGTGCCCACAGGACAGAGACTTTCCATGAAAAACGTTCTCCAAACGTATCAGCTCTTTCTTCCATCAGCACAGGGTGATGCCCAGGCTGTTAGTGGCCCCCCAGTGGGCTGCAGACAGGGCCTGCTGACAATACTAGACAACCTCGTGCCAGCATTCTCGGTCCACATTCTGACTTCACTGGCTGGGGTGGCCTGCACATCAGCATTGCTGACAGCTCCGTGGGTGACTCTAAACCCAGTTGTTTGGGACCCGCTGGCCTCGAGAGCAGGGCACCAGGGTCCCCTGTTGTTGGCACTGCAGAGGCACCTGGGAGCTTAAACACTGCTAAGCCCAAGCCCCACTGCTAGAGACGCTGGCTCACTTACCGGGGCTGCTGCCGGTGTGATCTATGCACCGCATCAGTGGCCCTCAGACTGGCACAGGTGAGAAGTCCTGGGGAGCTGAGACACCCCACCAAGGCCTGCAGCAAGTGGAGCCTGGCCTCTGCAGTTCACTGCGTTCCCAGGGGATTCTGACCCCACCCATGTGAACCGCTGCACCACTACGGATGGACAAAGACCCAGAAACAAAATCGTGTGACCCAGAAACTCGAGTGGGATTAATGCTGAATGTCACTCCTTGCTCTTCTGGAAAAGACGGCCTTGTGTGGAAAACTCAGCATGGGGTCTCCACAGAGGTTTTACAGAGGTGGGCACCAAGGGATCTGCGAGCCCCCACAGTGACATGCAGAACTTGGAAACTTGGGGGGGACGTGTCCATGGATGGATATCTATGCACATTTTTCTGGGGAAGCAATTCACGATTTTCATCAGAATTTCCAAGGACTCTACTGTGGACTGAACTCCATTACAGATTAAACAGTGTCCCTAAAAATACATGTCGATGTGGCGAGGCCATGCTTGTCAGGAATCATCCTCCATTCTGAGACCTGATGAAATGACCCCGTGTGCCGTGCACCCGGCTTCTATGACGTTAACAAAGTAGGGGTGGTGATGCCGAAGAGCAGGACGCAATCATGGGGTTGGGCAGAACCTCCAGCCTCTCTTCAGACACCAACGGGATGGAACGAATGAGGACAGAGCACAGGGACTTCCTGCCAAGAACGAAGAGCCAGGAGCAGAGCGCGTCCTCTGCGCCTGGGGTCCCTGCGCCGAGAAACTCCCAGCCCCAGGGAAGACTGATGACAGGAAGTTTCCAGAGATGACAGAAAAAGCCTTGCCTTACAGCTGGTGCCTGAGTCAGACTCCTAGCCTCCTAAACTGTGAGAGGATACACTGTTGTCTGTCAAAGCCACCGCCCTGCGGTATTTCCGTTACAGCAGCACTAGCGAACTGAGGCAGACTCCACGGATTCCAGAGAAGACCCACTGCTGACTCTGGACGTCACGCGAAGATGCGCTGTCTGACTCAATGTCACGGGAAGGGCCGCTGTCTGACTCTCAATGTCACAGGAAGAGCCGTGCTGACTCTCAATGTCACGGGAAGGGCCGCTGTCTGACTCTCAATGTCACGGGAAGAGCCGCTGTCTGACTCTCAATGTCACGGGAAGGGCCGCTGTCTGACTCTCAATGTCACGGGAAGAGCCGTGCTGACTCTGGACGTCACG